CCTGTCATCTTTCGAACGACACTGCGTCTACTGTCTACACCGAGCCTCCCGTGACACACTTCGCCATATTGCTTAAAGCCCGTCGTCAGCGCTGGACACAGGACAACGACAATCGTCCAGGCTATCGAGGCTATCGAATGAATGTGTTTCCGTTAGGAACCGCGAGCGGTTCGATAAACGAATGACGTCACCAATATCTTGGCACTTTCACGTAGGGGTCGCGTCATTTCGCAATTGGAACAAAATATTTTCAAATTCCCCAGACATCCCTGTGATACGGAATTTTTCCCTATTCAATAGGGTTATTTTGTTTTTCGATATTAGTAGTTTTTAAGCCAATATTAAAGCCGATATTCATAGTCGATTCTTATATTTGAGGTTGTCTTAAGTACAGTCTTAAGCTGTCATAAGCCAATTAGAAGACTATATAACATCTTAAGACATTATTTAAAACAATCTTGAAATAAGAATAGACTATTACCCGTTTAAATAAATCTCAGCAGCATATTTCATTTTCAATGAAATAATTCGTAGAGTATCTAAAGATCAATTTAAGGAAGTCTTAAATATAAGGCCTGAATGAATACGAGTAAAAGTCCTTTATTTCCTTCCTTGAAATAAAAAAATCCTGATTGATTGATTTTCTTATATCTCATGTTTTATGTGTTATGCAAGTGTTTGTGTTCTTCGCTTAAGAGTATAACCACATAACTTGCATAGCCACATAAACGTATACATAAAGAAAATTATCCAATTGCATTTCTCTTATAAAGACGCACATAAAATGAAATTGGCCGTAAAGTCGGTTCTATATTAGTTGCAAGTTGATCGCAAATTTGTTGCGACAGTCAATATGAAGTGTTGATTTCAAAATGCAAGCTTCAGATTGGCTGTCGCAACAAATTTGCGATCAGCTTGCAACTAATTTAGAATCGACGTAAAAAATTAACCAACTACAATCGAAGGCAAGAAGAATAATTTATTTGTCCTTATAGTTATTCCTTATGGCTTAAGGCTTAAAAATCTATTGGAGAATTGGGGTAAAGAGGTCAGAGATTCTTTCTGTCTTGCAATTAACGCAAAAATGAAAAATTCGTCATACGAGAAAAAAACAGACGTATGTAATGCATCCAGGGGCCCTTCTTGAAAAAATATCGCATACAAAAATAGCAATTTCGTATACAATCACAGTCAAAAAACTATCATTTTTGTATGCGAAAATTTGTATGTGCTCAAGAATAGGGCCCCAGAAGCGTGATCGTTCACTGAGAGCTTAGTGATCTCTTGTATCTGTTTGATCAATATTTTTAGATCTAACGGAATATACCAATCGGATACAAAAGCTCACTGAGCGCTCAGGGAACAGTTGTAATATTGAATGCCATTATTAGCCCGTATTCAGAACGCGCTTTAATCTCTGAAATTCTATAGTATGCGTAACGTAAATTATAGCATGTTAGCGGGTTAATATCGTTGTAAGCACGTTCTGGGCCATAATCGATAGAATCATAGAATTAGCATAATTGGTAAATGGTTCTTACTTAGATCCAATCAATCATATTTAATTGCTCGGCGAGTAGTCTGGGGCTAGTTTCATCAACACCGAATGGAATATTATTTATACTGGTCATAACTGTATGACGTATATCGTAATTTATAAGAATTAACCAATCACGAGTCGAGTATTCCTATCTTATAGAGTAGGATCTACTTGGCGCTACAATTGCTTCGAAGCGCTTGATTGACCAATCGGAAGAAAGAATTTTATTACTTGACCAATCAGAAAATGCTTCAAAGAATTTGTAGCATCCAGTAGATCGACCATAGCTATAATCGAATGAGAATAGAATAGAATATTATTTTATTTGTTGTTATTCTTTTTCTGTTTGTTTAAAGTATTTCTGTTTTAAACGACATATTTTTATAATTTATTTTATTTGGTATTATTTTTATTGTTATAAACCAAAATTTTTTTAATAATAACAAGAATTTAAATTTTATAAAAATGTGTTATTCCATAAAACAGGATGTTATGAACACAACTTTTATATGTATATAATTTAAAGTACAAATAACATATCAAAAGTGACTCCGATACATCTTTATTACTATCTTTTTTTAATTCTTGGAAATAGAAAAAATAAAGATCGCCTTTTATCGACTAGTTAGAAATTTGACTGCAGATATAAATATTTCTAACATATTTTTAAAATATCATCATGTATTGTTCTTTATCTCTGACAATAGATGGCATAAACTTTTCTTGTAATTTGTCCAACAGCTGGTCTTCTCGATCACGCGTAATAGGTTATGTTAATGTCAACACTTATGTACAATACGAAACATGATAGTTTTGGCGGCATTTGCAGTATTTTGTCAATCTTGAATTTGTAACGAAATACACACATATATATATATATATATAATTTTTCTGCAATTCGCAAAATGTAAGCAGAGAAGAATCTAGAAGTTTTAAAACATTTCAAGGATAAAAACTTGTAGGAGTTTGTTAAAATGATCGTCAAATTCGAAAAGATAATAAGCTGTTCCTCCGAACACCCAAAGTTTCCTGCCGCCAATCTTCTTCAACGTAATTCAGAAAATTGGAAAGCTACATGGCGATGCAGCAAACCGGGAGAAATGCTGGCACATGTCATCTTTCAACTCACTGAACCTTCTTATATCACGGGAGTCGATGTTGGCAATTATCAAAGTTGCATAGTGATTGTCACTGGATCTACCTCATCAGAACCTGATAACTGGATAGTTATCATCAATCATCAGTTTATGTCAAACGATGAAGCTGCAAATAACAAATTTAAAGATCAAGTTCAATTATTTACTAAAAGAGAATTAAATCCAGACACTTTAAAGATTAAATTTGATCGAATCAAAGTTACTTGTATGCAATCAGCCAATTTAAAAGTATTGTTTGGATTGTCATATATTATTTTGAGATCGGATCCTACAATTGATTTAGGCTTGGATACATTTGGCAAGTTCAAATTAAAACAACCACATGTTGTCAAGACACCTATGGAAATGATGAAAGAAAAAATCCTTAATAAAACAGAAAATATGAAGACAAATTACAAGACAGAATTACGTGAGCAAATAAAAAAAGATTCAATGGAGAATTTTGTTAAGTGTCAACAAGAACAAAAACTTATCAAGAGGCCATTATTAGAAAAGCTAGAAGCTGGAGAAGCTGATCAAATTTTTGGAAAAAATGATAAGACCCAACCACAATGTTCAAAAGATAAAGATAAGACCATTAATGAAAGTCCCAAAATCCCTAAAAATGAATCAAACGATAAAGCAGTGAGAACTCCTTTTGGAGATGTTGTACCTCCGCGTAATATTGATACTAATAAAAATAATATAAAAAATACTACTCAGAATTCTCCAAGTTTCAAGAAACGTCCTTTGATCAAGTTGGATGATTCACCAAATATAAAATTCAATGGAAGAAAAAAACAAAAGTGTTCTGAATGCTGTGCAGACTCGCAGGATCGATTATGTACAACTTGTCAACGATTGCCAGAGCCCAAAGAGTCTATTAAAAATGCTCCTTTACAGGCGAGCAACCATGTTTCGATGAAAAGATCATTTAAAGAATTGTTCAATGATGTTACATTCTCTCTCAGTGGATATGTTAATCCACAAAGAGATAATATTAGGAGAAAGGCTCTTAATATGGGAGCCAAATATATTCCTGATCCAAATACAACTAATAAAAAATGCACTCATTTAATATGTGCTTTTAAAAATACACCAAAATATCAACAATTCAAAAATCATACAAAAATTGTTTCTCATACTTTTATTGAGGAATGTTTTGATAAAAAAAAGAGGTAAATATATCTAATGAATTTTTTTTATTGCAGATTGAGAAATATTATAAATTATATATTGAATTATGTATGAAATTTCATAAATTATGTATTTTATAGATTTCCTTGGAGGCGATACGCTTTAGATCAAAAGGAAAAATCACAACCTGAAAGCGAAGAAGAAATTGATGGCAATCAATCGGAATCTGTATATGACATAGACACTGATGCTGATTCAGATTATTAATATTTTAATTAAATATTATATTAATTATCAATAACATATTTATCTAATTTCTTTAACTTTTGTATTACATCTTATAATTAATATTTTCTTTGAACTCTCAATAAATATATTTTTATGTACAAAACATAGGAACATGTACATTTATATTAATATAATCAATTGATATATACAATATACAATCAGTGATATATGCGCGCAATTAAAATTAAATATTGTAATGTTAAATATTGTATTGATATAAAACCAATAGATACATATATTTTACGAATTATAAGTAGTATCCTGGAAGAAAAAGATTACATTAAAAAATGACAAGATTTAATTAATAAAAGATATTTACACAGTTTGATAAAACTTTCACATTTAAATTACCGAATTTTTGTGTTTAATCGTTACTTAGTTAACTAATAAGATAGTTAATTAATAAGATGTTGAATAAATAGATTATAAAAATTTATTTTTAAAATGTACACATATTTTGGTATAAAATAGATGCTTTAAAGAAAGGAAAAAATTAGTTATGTATCTGATATATCCTTCAACCAAATTAATCTAATTCTTTTTTTCCATTCCAGGATTTCAATACATGATTTCTGATAAGTTGAAATTCTTAGGGGCTCTACACAATAAGAGAAACAAGCAACAGAGAACAGAGAATAAGAATTTCAATCTATCAGAAACTGTATATTCCACAATATATGATTTCTGATAGGTTGAAATTCTTATTCTCTGTTCCTTTTATTGTGCGGAGCCTCTAATAATTGCAGAATTGTGATTGGTGATTGTTCCGTTCCACTGTAAATTCCAGTCATGGGACGGTAGTGTCGGCAGCCTGACGTAAGCGTGGAAAATGGAAATGCCAATGAGCGTAGAGACGGTAGAGGTCTCTAGCATACAATTCAACAGTTGTAATACAGAATACAGCAGTAAACGTGTGATGATAAGACAAATGTAATAAATGGTGTATATATATACTTGAAAAATTTGCAAGCTAATTCATTGGTTTGCTATTGATTGAGGTTACTGAGAAAGACTATTAGTTTCTTGAAGTTTTTTCCAAAAAAGTTATTCAGCTGCATGATTATTTAGCCACCTTTTGGAGAAAATCTTGGACTAAAGAAAAAGAAGAATCAGGATGGTTGATGTCACAAATAATGTATTTGGCTTTGAGCTCTTTCAAAAACTCTATCATGATGATATCTATAAAAAGGAAGATGTAATAATTCTATTCATGCACTGGTATTTGACAAAATCTGGATTTAGATGCATTGGCATAGGAGATGATGTAAGTTCTGATGACAAGATAAACATCTTACGATGCTGTTCGTCACTGCATGTTGCTCAATGTCAACTATAATTTTATATATTTTCATTATTCTTATACATTAAAAGCATCTTTTGTAATGTTCTTTGACATTACAAAAATTCTAACCTAAAATATATAAAATAAAATAAATATATAAAATTTTCGTAAAGTATACTTTTATAATTATTATTTGTTCTAAATGTAATTTATTTGATTTAAACATTTTTCAAGAGCATTATCAAATATATTAATAATAAACGATTTATTAAGATAATATAATGTGAATACAAATAAAAATTAAAGTCTCTAACGGTTGAAGCTGAATCTTGACTGAATAATTATGTATTTAAGCATCGTAAGATACGACTTCGATTAAATATATTAAATTAGAATATGTATCACAACGTAGACATTTATCACGTGTTGAATAAGAATTTTTAACATATACAGATAATGCATTATATGTGTAATTATTTTTAAAATAATATTCAAACTTAATTTTTTAGGCAGCGTTTAATGCATCAGAAAAAGGTTCTGAATTACTTCCAACAGAATGGAATTCACGTCCCAATTATGCACTACGTTATGTAAAAGATGGAAAATTACATGTTCTTCTTGGAGTCAAATCAGATACAGATTTATTATTAAACTTGATGGTAATAATTATATGACAGCAGCAAACTGTCAAAATCAATTAATTATTAAAGCGATTATCTCTATAAAATTTATTTAATCTTATAGAATCACCAAGAGAATTCTGTTTCTAACATTTCGTTTCCTATCGAGGAAACTGTATCTGCATTACATGGACCTTTAGAGACTGTAATACCATCCTATCAAACAATTTTACATAATATACAAAAAGATTTTGTAAGTACGATATGCTCTAACGAAGCAGGGACCCAAACAACCGTACTAAATAATTCCGGAAGTTCCTCCGGAAGGAATGAGATTCCTCTCATTGATTCTCCAGCCAATTCTCCATTGAGGATACCCGGTAATTGGACATTAAATCGGTAATTTTTCAATATTGATTTAATATCCATATAAATATTTTTTATATTTAATTATGTCCACATAAGATTTTTTATATCACTTTAGATGAATTACGCATCTCAAGTAAAAAAGAATTTAGACTGCAGCATTTATAGAGAAATCGATATTATTATTATTATATTTTATTATGTAAAATAATATGATGTATACGTGCAAACTTATATGTTGCTTTGTAAATTTTATTATTTTTTTCTAATGATATACAAGATGTCTTTTCATTAGACATCCAATATATTATTCTATCTTAAATCTAGTATTTCAGATTATTTAATTTCCATTATTAGGCCTGAATATGTAGACGTAGGAAGTAGAGATCTTGATCCATTTGGAGAAAGCGGAGGTATGATATTCGATCCATTTAACACGAGGCGTCGTCAAATTGGACGTTCACCAGGAGGCTTGGGAATACCTGGAGTATTGCCGCCGTATGTTATATGATTAAACTAATACATACGTGTATGAGAATCTATTTTAATTTAAGAATCAATTTAAATGTAATATTGCAGAAATGCGATACCACCTGGTGCAAGATTCGATCCTTTTGGTCCACCTGAACTGGATCCCATGAGACCACATCGTCGTAGACCCGATGATGACCATTTATCTCCTCCACAATATAATGATATGTTTTTGTAATAAGTTACAGAAAATTAAATTTGATGAAAATGAAGGTATACAAGTACAAGATAGTTTTTTTATATATTGAATGTCTATCATTTCGCTAATATATTTCTTCTACAATATATATTATTATATTGTAAAGAATCATACATATGAAAGATACACAAATATTTCATATTTCCTTGGGGATGAGAATAAAGCCAAAAAATTTATTTATATTCAATATACATCAAGGTATAAAAATTATTATAAAACGTTTCTTTTTTCACAAAACAACTTCCATTCCTTTTTATTTCATAATTGATGTTTACAATGTAACAAAACGATTTAATTTAATGTTTAATTTAATTAAAACTAATTGTGTAATGATATAGAGATAGGAAATTATATTGAGAAATTAAACAGTAATTATTTTATTTATAAATTGCGCTAACTCGTTATTTTTTATTTCTTGTTTAATCAATTTGTAGGGAGTGATTGTTCTTATTTTATGTCGGTTCAAAATAGAGGATTTCTTTGCTATCTAAATTGTTCTTCCTTGAAATATTCACATTAGACATATGATTAAACACAAAAGATCTTGATCAATGTATGAAATTATTATATTATTTAGATCGACATCAAGTAGCTATTTAAAAAAAATAATTTTCATTATAATTGCATTTGTTTTTTGTGTAACATCAATATATTGCAGCAATTCGATTCATTTCTTCGAGAAATAAAATATTTCATATTTTTGCATGCTTCGTTTATAAATACGATTATGTATTGTTATTGCACACAGAGCAATTTTTACATGTTATATTTTTTTTGTAATTGAATATTAATTTCCAATAAAACAGCAACGTGTATAATTTTTTACAACTGTTAGCATCACAGCTTTAATAACCACAGTCTGCTTCTAAGTCTATATTTTTTTTAAATGTATATAAGAAAATTATATCACAGATATAAAAAGAAATTATTTAGCAATTTAATTACACCTTGAAGAAGTGAATCGATGCGCAAGGATAATAATTAAAAAAATAATAAAAATTATACTGGTAACTGGTTAAAATAATATCTATTTCATCACGAATATCGCATGATTTTTTTTTTTAGAAAAGAATTGTATTAAAGAAATGTTAAATTGCTGTAACTATCATAATTGAACTAAAATTAAACGAATAAAAGTAATGATACTTTTGCCTCTAAGGTTGAATCATTTGCTTTTATATATATCCGAATATCCCTCGTCCCATCCTCTGGTAAAAAATATTGCAGTTTTTAATATTACAAAAAAGGAGCGGTATCAGATTTTAATTTCGATTCGAGTCTGCGATTGTAGTGAATGTACCTTATTGTCACTCGTTAAAGAATACGTATATAAAAGTAAATTAAAATTGTCGCCTGTCTTTTATTTGGTAGCTAAGTAATCGATTCCTAATCGATTATGTCAACCGAGTTTAGTTTATCACTTGTATAGGAGGTAAATTGCCAATACCATTAACAAACGTGTAATGATACATAATCATTAGTTCATCATGTTCTGGAACACAACAGCGGATCTCTTGGATGTCTCGGGAATGGCAATTAAATTTGTTTGATTGAATGTAGTAATACATAGCAATCAAACTTGATTGCCGTACAACCATTGTGCAATAGTTTCATTTCCGGTACGCATTGTTATCCATTGTTGAAGATAATCAGAAGCAGATAGCATACAAAATAACGTACATTCACATGAAATCAGCAGACACGTGAAATGTTCTAAGTATTATATTTCATTATTATTTTACGAGTGAATTTTTCTATCCTTTGAACACAGTTTAGTGTGGCGTACACAGCATCATTGACAATTTTATCAAAATAGAAGACGATGATGACTTTACATATATGCTTGTATACCAGATTGAAAAATCTACTTTGACTAAAAGTTAGATATGCAAAGATTTTGATAAAATTGTCATTGAGCTACGGTAATACGTGATATACAGCTCTGGAGTGATTTGCTTCACATTAGTTTCTCATTATCCATCACTCAAGTTAACGCAGATTCCAAGTCCAATAAGAGTTAAAAACATCCATCAGCGGTTCGGTATACCATTGGAAATGCAACGTAATGTGTTTGTCGTTTGTTTTTCAAATTAAAAATATCTTAAATTTAATTTGAAACACTTTAGAGCTTTAATGCTCTGCAATTCATTTTATCAAATCATTGCAAATCAAGTATTATAAATGTGTAATCCAAACATAAATTACAAAATGTGTAAATCAAACATAAATTGTCGCTAATATTTTAGTAAATAAAATTAATATTAGTTATAATTAATAGAATTCTATGTAATGTATATAATAAAAAAAAGAAAGAAAAAGAAGACAATATATTGTAATGTCATGTTATATAAGTGTGATGTGTTTAATATGCAAATGTATATTTCTTTTTTTAGCATAAAATCGATTCTTCTTTATTATGTTTTGATTCATTGTAGAAATGATTTTGATATTGAAATTTCTTATTTTGCAATTATAACAGAAATAAATTGTATCGAAAAAAACTGTCTGTGAAAAGCCATTTTTTTAAAAAGAATATAAATATATATTTTCATTTTATTTCAATCACATGCTGCGAAAAATCTATATATAAAATCTTCCTAAAAATTATTATCGTATTTGACGTTCAAAGCAAATTGTTTCGATATATTTTAATTAAAAAGAAATATAATTAGATATAAATATTAATTATATGTTAATTCCAATTCGGATACTTTTACATATCTTGAAATTTAGTTTGCAATCAAATGTGTAGCATTTTCTAGAAATTATATATTTGCAAATTATAAATTCTTTATTTCTGTTTGTGTGTATGCGTGCGTATATATGTATGTGTACCACACTAACATAACACAATTTACTATCTTAATGAAATAATAAATTGATAATATACTGAATGTCACATTCATTACAATCATATATTGATTTTCCTACATATTGATTTTCCTACATTTTTCGCTTTTCTAATTAGAAAAATCATATTCTCTTTTTGTTTATTATAAAGTGTTTATAAAGAATTTTGGTCTTAAGAAAAAGATAAGTATGTATAACGTACGAGTTTGTACATGTATGTATGAACAACTTTTACGTCACGATTTACAAAGTAAGGTTAAATGGTAATAATATAATTAATAGATTTTTAAAAATAATTATTACCATTTCAAGATTTAATTTTTGTTCTTCAATGGTCAATATTGATCAAGTATCAAAAATAACATATAATTTATCTTCATAAACGGAAATAGCAACAATTTTGAATCGTGTTCTTTCGTGTTATATAATGACTCATCCCGAAATATAAAATTAGGTAAAGCAAAATATGTTTCAAAGTTGATTGATAGTTATCAAGCAACGTTGCATTTCCAGTGATAGACCATTCAGAACAGATTTGCTACAATATGCCACTTGTTGTCAGGCGCAAAATTCTACACATTTATACCAATCAGTATGAATTAGTGATTTTTTTTCCCCATCTTCTCCTTTTCTAAAGTGTTCTTTGATCTATTGAATGCAGCAGGAATTTTTTTGTCCATTCTTGAGCTTCAATCGAGATTTAGGACGATACTTTTCAAGAAAAGTTAACTGCTTCGCGTTTATGGCGCCTCGTCTTTTTCTAGAACAAAGAGAGAAAAAAATCATAACAAATTTTATTTTGCATTTCACGTAACGTATTCCATTGTTTGAATAACCAAAGATTACGGAATTATGCATAGAGATGACTTACTCTCTGATAAGGGCAACAGCATCTTCGAACTTGAGCCCAAGTTCAATGAGAGCTATCGCAACCAAGACCGGTGCTCTACCAAGACCCGCGACACAATGCACCGCCACACATGCATCAGGTGATTCTCGGAATCGGTTTTTTAGCAACTCGAACCATTCATCTACCACCTAGAAAATTTATATGAATAATGGAAAACATATAAACGATTTATTTTCATTCGAGTTTTCCTACTTTTCTCAATAAAAATAGATCTCAATAAAAATAGACTGAAGATAAAAACTTTACCTCGTTTGGTGGAAATGTACCGTCGTCGAATACCAAATCTATCACATTGATCCCTTCTGATTTCAGTTCCTCTACTTTGTACGTTGGTTCGCAAACTCTTACCACCTCCTTTACATTGTGCTTTTTCAGTTCCTATTAAAGAAATTTAATGCAATTTATAATAGATAGGAATAAAAATAAAGATTTTGGCGCAATGTCTCGCGGACAATTTCGTTCATATACTAACTTGAATAAAGGTATGGATGGTTTGATCATTGGGCCGATCAGTAATGAGGAACTTCATGTTTTTGTATTCAATCTCGGCGGGCGCCGGTCTGATATCCTTCACCCTCATGTTGCTCATTTCCTTCTTAACCACAGAGATGGTTATAAATCTATCCTCTCTTATTGTTTTTAACTCTTAAAGATCTCGTACGTGTGCCACACTATACGAAGCGACAAAGGCTGGATTTGACAACTTAGCCCATTAAATGTCAGTCTTATAAAGTTGTTTTTCATTTAACTAATAGAATATATTATTTTTTTACAGAGGACAGAACCGTGGGTTTACATGTAGAATTTAGAAAGGATCGTCGGGATGCGAACTTCGCCGAAAAAGTAAGGGCTACGTTACATTAGGCGGTGTTGATATGCGCTTTATTCTTCCCACTTAAAATTTTTTGACTATAATTCACGGAAGATTACCTGAAATCAATACAATTGTAGATGATGAATATAATTTAATTATTAGGATGAAGAAAAAGCTTTTTTACAGCTTTTTTTCTTGGAAAAATGCTACTCTTACCTATTTGGCACTGGGTGCTCCTGTAGCACAGGTGCGCTCAGTATCTACGATGCTTGCATCTACTAAGGTAAATTAATAATTTCTATTAAATTCTTCTATGTCTTGCAAGATGACTAGTTGATGATTTTTCTGGCTTCCCCGATGATAATTCTCTACTACTTTAATATCTTTCTTTCTTTCTCCAAGGTGTTTCTAGCCTTCCTCTCTTTACCTTAACGATGTCTAATAATTGTCAGGGAGTATGGGCGTGTCTCTCTATTTGTGTTGAGCCTGGCAGTATTCTGCGCTATCCAACTGAAACTCCATGTATGTGAGGATGCACTCACCAGGAAACTACAACATAAGTATCAAATATGTAGTATCAAATATGACATAACCATGTTCCTTGATTACGGAATAAAATGATAATTTTAAAGCAATCATTTTCATCGCGCACTATTTTCATCGCTTCCACATAACAATAGCGAACTTTCGCACGGTCACGCGCTAGTAACATGATATCAATTCTTGAGTATGTTGCTCCATGTAAGGAGCCATTTCGTCTCTTCGTATTCGTTCTTTCTACACGGAGAGAAATATAAAGTATTATGCGCTGGAATTCTAGCAAATTTTATGAAATTGGCAGGTCAATAATAGGAACAGGCACCTTCTTATATTAAAATTTTATTTTTCTGGCAAATAAGTGATCATCTTATAAGTATACTCTTAAAACTACCTCAAACTATAAGATACTTTTACATTCTATAAAATAAATTTTGAGAGTTCTTACTTGCTCGTGCTTACAATCTTGAGAATAGTATGATTTACTTTACACAATCAAAATTTATATAATCACTTGAATACTATAATATAATTGTAATGTATTTTTACCTTATAGATATTTCCAATATTTTTACTTTCAGACAAGTTTGTTATAAGTTTGGCAAAATTAGAACATTTTTATTAGTAAGACAAAAATTATTCAACTTTTTCTCCGTGTAGCATTAATACAATAAGACACAATACAATATACATTCGTTAAAATGATGTAGTATTATTTCTTTCTTAAACAATTTTCTCTTGATCACAATTAAATTGACCATTGAATGATCGAAATATCATTCGTGCGAGTGCATAGGTTGCGGAAGGAACGTTTTGAGATCATTTTTAAATAGAGAATGCTAATGTTATACACGGTAACATTATAGGTCGCAGTTTGTAGTTGTTCCATGCCAAGCTTGCGCGCTGTCGCATTCGACAACGCGCGTAATTGACCTCTCGATCTTTCGTCGAAACCGATTTGCGAAAGCTCCTTTTTGCGTAACGCTACCATCAATATGCGATGTACGACAGTAACCAAATGTCACTGATTGACGGGAAAGAATATGACCGACCGACATTCAAACCAGTATGCATCAAAATAACCGAAATTGGCAGGTGAGGAGAAGCTCGAGCACGAGAGGCACGGGCTATATACGCTTCGTGAAACGCCGCCAAGGCCAAATCCATCAACGATGGCGTCGCGCGTCCGACCGCTTCGACTGTATTCTATTTCTTTAACATGATGCCATTGAATATATATATATATAATGTGCATGTATACTCGGCTACTTGGTATGACTACTTGGAAATTTCCGATTTCGATTTCGAAAAAGTTGCTCAAAGATATACTGAAAAAAAGAATCTGCTAATAGCTACCAAATGTTGAGTGAAATAATTTTAATCAAGTGTTTGCAGATTAATATAACCAATAATAATTTTATTGGTAATTTAATTTTCTGAATAAATTTATTGGTTACATTATTATATTATGTAGCAGTATTTACTAAATATTTAGAAAAATAAAATTATTTTTTGTGATTGAAATTATTTCACTCAACTTTAGCTATTACCAGACTCTCTTTTCAGTATATGCACCGTACATGCGTTTGATAACGAAATTATCGAGATGGAACCAGACACGATTAATAAAAAGTTGGTCTATCTTGACGCATGCAAAGGTCATAAAGGTACTATATGTAATAATTGTGGTGGATATTTATAGATATAAAAAATCTCAAGGCATAAAATTATTCGAATCAGGCTACAGACTAAGTTAGATGCGCGTAAATCATACAGACTTGTTAGACTATGTAGAAACTCAATTTACACTTTACGAAGATGATATATCAACTCTGCATTTTTCCAAGAATTCCTTTCGATACATTCCCCTATGAATCTCATTTTCAAATCAATCTCAGTAGATTGTTCAGAAAAAATCAAAACTACTCTTCAAAAATTTTTGGCTTAGAATTTTTATTCTAAAAAGTGAAAATTGAGTCAGTTTTCAAAAAGAGGTTCAATCTTTAAAAGTCAAATTTCAAAAAATATAAAGGTATATATCGAGATGTTATCGACAGAATTTATCCCAGTCGAATTTACGCGAAAGACTTACATCCTTAATGATGCTTTTATAAACAGTGCGCGATTGTCATCGTGTTGTATGAACACGCAATGTCGCCATGATGGCGACGCACGCGTTAAGAAAACAAACCAACCAGTAACTCATACACAAGATTATTACTCTCTAAATTCTTTCGAGTGCAATCACTCTAAAGAGTGAAAATTGATTTTAAAAGAGTATTCAATTTTCAATTTTCAATGCCGGTTTCTACCAATGTAGATAAACTAATTTCGATTCAACTTGCTCTTTATCTTTTTCTATTCTTATTACTAAAATAATTTTTAGAACTAGATAAAGATTAGGAGTTAATTGACCGAGATTAAAATTAAACTACATTGATAGAAACTGAAAAGTGAGATTTTATTCTTCAGAATAAGATTCATTCTACAAGTTTAACAGAGTATCAATGGAAGAGAATCAAATATTAAAAAAATTTTTTAAATTAAACTGAATCTGATATTTTTTTCTTTACAATATTTCATGAGAAATGACTTCTAGAGAAAAGGAGATTAATGAAAATAACTAGTAATCTAAAATTTGAATTTCGTTATAATTTTGCATCTCATATCTCTGCAATATTATACTAGAATTTGCAAGATTTTGCAAATGCAAGATTGCAACGTAACTAAACGAAAGAATATTTTGTATAAAGGAATTGACGCGATCGAAATCAATTTATGCTTGTGTTCGTCAGAGATCGGAATCGTTAAAGACTGTCGCAAGATTGACGACGCGTTAGGTCTCGTGATAGTAAACAAAATTCTATTTGCGTGCAGTTACGTCGCGAATCATGTCGGACAGAGTGCAAACCAATGCGACGTGTGAAGAAGGCGACAAAAATCACTCGTTCCATCTCTATCGAACGTATAATAGAAGTCTTCTCCGTGGGAGAAAATAAATGCGTTGAGTATTTATACGTTGAATATTTTTATCCTTTAATATTATCTCCTTGAACATCCAAGAAAGTGCGATATTCGCAAATAGTCCTATCTGATATGTAGATATTCTATATATTGTCCACTCGTTACAACAACGATATAACTCCAAAAATAAAATTATCCAGAAAATAAGTTCGAATGTTTTTATGAAATTTTAATTTTGAATAATATTTTAGCAATAGCAATATTTTGATATTGTGATAACTGATTGTGGAGGAATAAAAGTATGTTCTTTATTTTTTTATTTTTGTCTTTTTTTTGCAAACAATTCCAAAATGATAGTTTTGAGTTATGCCATTGTTGTAGCAAATAAATAATATATGGTACTCTTCGTACGTGCGAGACGGGGACAAGAAATGTCATGGATTGAGTTAAGATATATCCGATTAAAAGACTTAAAAATTTATCTTGATGTCTCTAACTAAATTCTAGTATTTCTATCAAAGAAAAATTTTTATTTTTGATGCGTTTCTATCTACCTTCTGTAAAATATAAGAAAATTTTATGGTGTAAATTTTTGTAAACTTTAATAATTTTTAATAATTAAAATACAAGAATTAAAATGACGCATCGGAAAGATATGCGATAATGAAAAGATATGTGCGCGCGGAATACTCTCTAAAACTTTTAAAGTGAGTTTTATTCTGAAGAATGAAATATGATATATACTTGATATATACTTTTAAGGATTGAAAATACAAGATTCTTTCAAGACTGGTTTAATTTTTATTCTTTAGAAATTTCATTCTAAAGAATTTAGAATCAAGCAAATATTAATTCAAATCTCGAAAGAATAATGCTCTTGTAACACTGCAATATGTACGTTGCATAATTGTAGCCAATGATATCGAATTTATGATACGACATCGAATTTATGATACGATTGTTTCTCTTTGTCGTGAAGAAAATGAATTTCATGAAGTGTTTCTACGAAAGTCAATATTAGATTGATTATCGCGTTTGTATCGAAATACTGTCGAAATACTATCGAATATTATCGAAAAAGCATACAAACGAATGAGTTTATTAAGCACGAATATTGATGCATAAAAAGAATTTTCAAAACTATACGTATGTACGTATTTGCGAAGCAGCAACATCGAATATGATTTTCTTACATTGACTACATCGAAAGAAAAATTCGGAAAAAAAGATATTAGAATCTACCTAAATTATAAATAAATAATTTTCTTGATGTATTAAATAAAATGTTTTTATATCAAAATTTCTTATATCAAAATATCTTTTCTCATTGAAAATAATTTTATTTAATGTAAGAAAATTATTTATTCGATAAATTCTAATAGCTTATTTTTTTGTAGCAAGATATTTTTTTCGATGTATTATTATATTATAAGAGAGATTGGAAAATTTTCTATAAAAATCGATAGCTACATCGATGTTACATCAATGCTTATCCGAAAAATCTGTCGGTTAACAGCTACGTCGAGCAATGCTATTATTATCGTGCCAATTTTGATTAAACTAGCGTCCGGATCTGCAATATATTCAGAGAAAAATATAATTTTGACAACTATTAAATTAACAACTTTAATTTAAATACTTGCAACTATAATAGTTTTACAAAATAATAAGAACTAAAGTAATACTATATTTTTATAGTATTTACTTTACTACTTTACTACTTTAATCCTATTGCTTTTTAAAACTAGTTACAAGTATTTAAATTTTAGAGTTGTAACTTTATAGTTGCCACAATTATTTTTTTTCTCAATATAGATTTTTAAGCCATAAGAAATGGACAAATCACAGTCAATTATTCCTCTCGCATTCGACTATAATTCATCAAATTCTTACGACTTAAGGCTTAAAACATCTATTATAGATCTAGACTTACATTTATTGTATAACTATACTTGTCTTAACGAAACACTACCTTGTCTCCAGATTTATTTCGAAAATACCGATAAAAAGAGAATAAAGGGCATGTGAGTGTCAATCTAGCCGTTTAACGTATAAAATCAATATTTTTATTTCGAAAGCATGCGAAAACTCGGCGGATTCCATCATCAGCTTTCAGTCTATTAACGTATTGTCACTTTCGACAGTCGTGCTGTGTCGCGTTTATCACTTGATACTCGCGAACTTTTCAAATACCGATAATAGCCTCGTTTTTGATTTCTCTGAAAGAAAAAATTTTGCATCAATCGGAAATAAAATGTTTCTTGACCGCTCAACCAACAAAATTCTTTCGCTATCGAGAAGGTAGTATTACTTTGTGTAAAAGAATATAACAGCAAACACATTGTGATTTATTTAAGGATGTTTAATACTTATTTTCAAAAGATTAAGAACATAACAAAAATGTTACAGATTGTCCTATTATTATATTTGAATATTTATATTTATGTAAAATTTGAACACAATTATTTGATTGATATTTTTATTGTTACTGATATTGAATAGATAAAATATCTTTAAAATTTATGTAGTGAAAAGATAGAAAAAAAAAAAGAAAATAACAAGTATTGAATTTTCATAAAACGTTTAAACGATGGAGAGAAGTGTATTTAATGATATTTATTTTAGGATTATTCGGATCATCCCGTTTATAGGTTTATAAAAGCAGTCAGATGTTCACAAAGTGACTCGTCGAGAAAGAGAGAGAAAGAGAAAGAAAGAAAGAAAGAGAGAAAGAGAAAGAAAACTTTACCTTACGGTCATTTGATAAGAAGTTTGCAAGTCCGAGATCACGGAAGTGTTCCAAGATAATTAAGTTCTAACAATAATAAAACAATTGACGTATTGTCATGCGGTGAGAACAATTGTTATAAAGTGACGAAATCACCATACCATGCACCAAAAAGTCACATCTTAATGTCGCGCACGCGTGCACTTTCGCAAAGCCATTCCAAATTTATGACTCGAGACGTAAAATATTCTTCGTATTCTTCCGTATCGTCCATACCGTCAAAGGCCAAACGAAGTTTGATCTTTCGAAATTTTGTAAAACACGAATTATGTTGACGTGGTAATTATCTTAATTATCTGTTAAGACTTTCGCGCGATCACGTTCGAAGGATTTACATCCTTGACGGAGAGAATTCGATTCGATTCTTCTCACCGTACAGCGGCGACTTCGATTTCAGCAATTTTCGAGCGAGACGAATGGCAAGATCAAAATCGGATTAGCGGGCGGAGTCGTGACTGCCGTGGGGCCCAGCAAAAGCGCGGCTGTTATTATCGTACAGACGTATACTCGTTTCGTCGTGACGGTCGCGTCGAATCTGGGCCAGCTACAGCGTGGCGATCAAAATAGCACGGCGTCGAGACAGCTTCCACCCTTCTCTCCATCGAGCGAGCACTCGTCATCTGATCCCCCTCCACACACGCATCAACACACGCTACACGCATATATGTACAATATAATGCATTCCACATCGCCATATCGCTCGACTTTGTCGCTCGTGTTGACAACAGTAACAATTTGTCTTTTTCGACGTATAGTTGCCTGGTGAAAACTCAAGTCGCGTTGGGATTATACATTGTATATTATCGTATAGCGTCTCCAGTCCCTTTCGTAAACTGGAAAAAGTCTTGTTGCGTTAATTGGAATTCAGACAGATTTAATCAGAAAGACACTGCAAATCAGACACTTAAATCTGTCAAACATTCCAATCGAGATATGAAGAAATTCAATTACGATAAGCAGCATTTTCACATCATTTCAAGATACTGAGAGAAAAGTATTTGATATTTGTGGCTATAATGGCATAAAATAATTATAATTAGGAATTCCATTACTACTATAATGTTAATAATAACCATATAGGACAGTTCTCTGAAATATGAGAAAGTTGTACTATAAATTACGATAATTTCAAATATTAATACAGTAAAATATAAAGGTATAATAAATAAAATAAAACATTTTTATTTAGTAAATGCAATCATAATTACAGTGAATGTAACTATTTTCTTAAATTCATTTACTATTTATGTGGTAATAATAATTAAAAAATATGTTAAGAGAAAACTAAAGATTTTCAAGCAATGTGTGAGACTATTATTAATAGCACAGTTGACTATATTACAGTAATTGAAATAACAATAAATACATATATAGTTGTAAAAATTACTTTAAATTATAGTTAAATTATGATGATTGCAATCATTTCTTTCCTCTCAGTACATAATCAATATCCAGATTCTAATTTATATGATCAAAATTCGTTTTGTTTGTACGTCTTGTTGATACAACCAGAACATTTTTCTCAGTGTAATTTTTGCATCACCGATTATTATTATTTCGTTCAAAAATTATACTATCATCGAAATCTCACTCGCAATGCTCGATCCGATTTCCTTCGAAAGCTTCACGGCGTTTCGGCTGCTGGCGCCGCCTAATGAATCGACTTCGATACTGATCGATGATCGCGTGCCAAAGTGGCATGCAAGTATCGGCAGATTTTTAAGTCGGTAATTTAATAAGGAAAGGAACAAATAAATCATTAATCAATCGATTCGATGTCACTTCTGTAATTGCCACGTGTCAATAAACGATGATTAATCAAGCGATTGTAATGGCGATACTGAGAACGTCACTTGAGGAATCGAAATAGATTAGGAATCGTTCGACGGTTGCGCGTTATTGCATGGGATTGCATAAGATTGCATAGATATTTTCGCCACGGCATCACGCGATAAATTGGTACCGATCTGTGATCAAGTTTTTTTTCTCATTTTTTTTTGTTCATTTTTCATTTACGCCACGCGCGCGCGTATCTAAATGCCGTACAACTGATCAGTAGGCGCGTGTGACTTTCACGGTCATTCTCGCTACGCCAACAGAAAACAAGAAAACGTCGCTTGTATGACGTCAAAACTCGCCAAGTCGGATAAATTACTAGGTCGTTTCAGTAGCGTATATATGTATGTATACGCATTGTCGCTGCAAGACACGCGCGACTTGTCGACTCGGATCAACTCGGATGCAACTCGATGCGATCCGTTTCGAAGAATCGCGGATCGATGAGAGTACGAAGAAGCGTTCAACGGAATTGGACGAGTTCCCTCGACACGCGTTGACATTGTCAACATCGTTGTCGATCTATAACAACGAGATAACGTCCTAGTACCTCTCGAAATCACGTGTTCTTCGGTCATGAAACATTTTCTGAGACACAACAGAAATAACTGACAGCTTTCAACGCATTAAGAGGATCCTAAAATCGTCTGTGTATTTTATCGATTATTTTATTTTTATAAGTATTTTAACTGTACTGTCCTTACAAATTTAAAAATCCTTTTCCACAAATTAAAATATAAAGTAATAATGCAGTCCAAACTGGTCGATTTTAAAATACAATACATAATAAAAAAGCTAAAAATGAAAAAAGATTGGAAAATTATAGTTTTATAGGCTTCTCGTAACAATATTTACTTTACATAGAAGCTTTATACTTTGTACGCATAAAACAATCTCGATTTGAACTAGAGATCATATGAATAAATAATGTTAAGTTCTTAGAATTAGGTTTAGAACTTACAACATAAAAGATTAGTTAGAAAATTTGTATGTATATGTGCGTGCGATGTAGTATTGCATGTCAATGACACATAAATCGTATGTGTGTAAATGAATCGGTCCGGATCTACAATAAATTTTTAAGCCTTAAGCCATAAGGAATGGATGTATTACAATCAATTATTCTCCTCGCATTCGACTGTAATTGGTCAATTTCTTACGGCTTAAGGCTTAAAATACTTATTGTAGATCCGAACTAAAACAGACGACTTTAGGGATCTCCTCAAGCCCTTTTTTTACAATTGCGTAACTGTAATTGTAAATGATGATTATATTTGATTAAAATTGACCATTCTCCTCATCTTCTGTAATTGGTCAATTTTTCAACAATAAGCACTTACAATTGAACTATTCTATCTAATTGTAAAATGGGCTTTACGGTAATTCGATAATGATATGATTCTTTTTCATGTGGAATAAATGCGCGAATGAAAAAATATTTGGCGACGAAAGCGACGGAAAGTGACGTCACTACAAGAATCAATACGGCCAGGAGGAGGCGTTATGACGTCGGTCTGTGATGTCACTGTCGTCACTCGCGTAGGAGACGCACCATACACGTGCAAATCTAACTAACGCCAACGCAATGAGAAACGGTCATTACGCACGCTCTGTACTGAAAATGGGAGCCAACGTGCGTTAATTCTTCCTTTAGACAGGAACATAATAGACTCTTGCATAATGCGTAATGCATAAGGCGTAAGAAAATTAACCAATCAGTCTTTTATTCCATGGGAAGCAGAAAAGGAATGAAGGACTTTGATTGGTTCATTTTCTTCATTTTCTTATGTATTATGCATTATGGATTACGCAAGACTCCGTTATAGACTTTCTACAATAAGTTGTTATCTAAACTTTAAATCTTGAATAAGAAATTGACCAATCATAGTCGATTATTCTTCTCACGTTCGACTATGATTAGTCAATTTTTTATGATTTAAGACTTAAAGTTTAAATAGTGGCTTATTGTAGAAAGCCTATATCAATTACGCAGATTCTCTCTCTACAGTAAATCGTTATTTAATCTTTAAGTCTTAAACTGTAAAAAATTGACCGGTCACAGTCAAATGTGAGAGGAATAATCGATTAATCGGTCAATTCTAATTTTTACGGCTTAAAACTCAAAGCTTAGGTAATTTATTGTAGAAAGCCTAGTGTGATAGAAAAGTCGATACCATAACGTAATGTAAAAAGAAAAGTCTACCATTTTCGCTGCACAATAGAAGAATGAATTTCTGGTCAAATTTGATTTAATTATTTCCAGTATTGCCATCGCCGTTGCCACACGCAATGTATCTTTCTTTTTATGTCTTGTTACATAGGGCGTAGTACAATGTGATGTCATGCCTATTGTCGTATAAAATCGAATACACGTGCTACACATTTTTTTTATAATTTCCATGTGGGGATGTACGATACGATAAAAAACACATATCATTACAGAAAAAAAAAAAACGTTTCTTTTTTAAATGTCGGTTAGAAATCGCCTGTGAACTTCAAAGGTAGTTTGTAATTGACATTTTTGCAAAAAAATCATATTTTTTCGCGTAACGATATTTGTGATCGATATGCGTATCACACATCCTTATCTCCATGTTACAAGCTGTGCATCTATGCCACTCTACCGCTCCTATTTCTTCCTTCTCCATTCCTGCCACCATCAACTTTTCCAGACGACAATGAAACAGCAGGGTTGAATGAGCTATGAGGGCGACGAACCGTGTATTAGGCAACGTTCATAACGACGCAATCATCGCTAGCAAGATTTTCATCTATCGAATTATTCGATCTTTTTCATTATACTAAAACGACTTTTATTAAAAAGAAATCCAAAATGAACAATGCGTGCCAATGGTAGTTTTATTTGCTGAAAGTAAATATCGTTTAACCAAATATCTTTGTATCGATATCGTTCATTTCGAATATCCGAATAATATCTAAAAGTTGTAATTTTTTTTTATAACTGAGAAGTACAAAGATGCACGGAATTATTTGATCCACGCTGATGATAACATTAATAATTTGCAGCGGCCTCATTGAGAAAATATTACCGTAAACATTTTTTTTACGTTATTAAAAACGAAGGAAATTTTTTCTTTCAGTACAATTTTGCGATTCATATATAATACATTTGTAAAATAAATGTTCCTGGTTTTAAAGTAACGCGATTTTACTCGTCGTAAAAGGTGCGGTACGACGCGAATAATGAAAGCGGTCGCGGCACGAGTGGTCTCACAATCAGGTCTCAAGTGTACGCTAA